AGAAATGGAGAATCCCATTAGCTCATCTATTCTATCTCCCTGCCAATGCACAATCGTCCCTACTCTGTATTGTGGGACTAGAGTGAACAGTATGTCTGCAGGGGTGTCTCCATCGGTTACCACTAAAGGGGTGTCAGCCAAAAGACACAAGGTGTAGACAGTTAGAAATCAAGGCTTGAAATTCAAAGGAAAGGTGTAATAAGGTGTTTGGCTATAAATGGCAAGCCAAGCAGAGAGAGAAGGCTTCTTATTGTCTTCAGTATAGGGGCTGGACATTTATATGGATCTCAAGAATATCCAGAGTGATCGTAATTTAATAAGAAAAAAAATTAAACCTCATGTTTACAGTTTAAGCCAATCTCTTGCTATTGGGGTATGTCTGTGCTGCATTGTAAACCCAGGCTCTGACTCAGATTTAAGCCCAACCCTGCCCTACTGTCCATGCACAAAGCTTTCTGAGTCAGGTCAATAAGCCCTCAAGACTTGGGTCTGTGGACACACCCAGGAGGGTGGGTCTGAGCCTAAGTCCTGCTGTGACTGGGGTCCAAGTCCTGTCACTTTGTGGTGTGGATGCAGCTCAAGCCACAGATGTGAATCAGGAAGTCTGCATTGTGCAGTATGGACACTTTAGCACGGTTGTGTGCCCCGGGTCCAGGAGTTGTAAACCCAAGTTTACAGTGCAGTGTGAATGCATGGAAACATGACTCCGCAAGCATGTGTCCCACAAATCTGGGTTTACAATGCAGTGTAGGCATATACTTGGAGACCAGGATTAAACCTACTGTGGGGAGCAGATTATCCCACACGTGCCAATTGTGGGGTTCTTGCATCGTCCTCTGAAGCAGCTGATACTAGTAACTGTGAGAGAAAGGATGCTTGGTTAGATAGACGTTGGGTTTGATCTAATATAGCAGTTCTTGTGTTCCTAGTAGGTTAAACTTCTATAGATTCCCCTTTGCCCCCTATCATTTTAGTACTTGAAGGAGTTCCCATTAGGATTGTTACTCTGTGAGCTTTTTTTATCCACCCTTATATTCAGCATGTTGCAGCTGTAACAGTTTCTTGGAAAAAACTTCTAGAGAGAAATTTCTGAGGGTTGACACAAAATTCCACACACAAAACTCGTTCCATTTTCACCACATAACTTTTCCAAAGCAAACAGCTTTCTTTCCTGTGAACTGCGAGTTATGAGGTTTTGGAGCTGTGTGAATCCTAGTACAGCCACTGGAGTACTGCTTCCTCTCTCGTTTCCTTCCTCCCTGCTTCCTAGGGCTTTATTTTCTGTCAGAGGGTCATCCTTTTGAATGACTGTCAAATGCTCATGCAGGTGGCAGAAATAAAAAAGAAACAGGGCTGGGATCCGTCGTGAGTGCTGGTGAGGTGCATGTTGATCAGAGATGGTTGTGTTGTCAAGGCAGAAGTTGTGATTGGGGGCCTATAGAGTATGACAACATTTGAAACTCACAGTTTTCTGTAATAAAAATGACTTCTCAGATCACAATAATAATAGGAAACCATAGCATAGTGCACATGCTATGTTGCTAGGATGGTATTCAGGGTGAAAACAACCAACACTGGTGATCACCAACAGATTGAAGACTATTGTTAAAAAAAAATTAATAAAAGTAATAAATCTGCCAGTGATCACTAGTGGTCTGTGGAGCCCTTGCTGGTGCACTGCAGGAGGAAAGATTGTGAAAGATCTTTTAATCCATCTTGTGGCTTGTGTCTGAACCCTCTCCAGTTTATCGACATTCTTCTTGAATTGTGGGCCCCAGAACTGGACAGAGTGTTGCAGCAGTATTCCAGCACCAGGGCCAAATGCAGAGGTAAAATAATCTCTCTACTCTTTGAGATTCCCCTGTTTATGCATCCAAGGATTGTATTGGCCATTTTGGCCACAGCGCCTCACTGAGAGCTCATGTTCAGCTGATTATCCACCACAATTCCCAAATCTTTGTCAGATCATTGCTTCCCAGGGTAGCGTCCCCATTGTGTAGGTATGGTCTACATTCTTTGTTCCTAGATGTATACATTTATATTTAGCTGTGTTAAAACACACATTGTTTGCTTGAGCCCAGCTTAGCAAGTGATCCAGATCACACGAGGACAAGTCACTGATACCTTCATTATTTACCACTCCCCAAATTTTTGTGTCATCTGCAAACTTTATCAGTGATGATTTTGTTTTCTTCCAGGTCATTAATAGAAAGATTAAATCGCATAAGGGCCAAGAACAGATCCCTGCAGGATCCCACTAGAAACACACCCATTCAATGATGATTCCCCATTTACAATTACATTTTGAGACCTATCAGTTAGCTATTTTTTAAACCATTTAATGTGCACCATGCTAATTTTAAATCTTTCTAATTTTGTAATCAAAATGTCATGCTGAACCAAGACAAATGTCATATTAGAAATGAAGGGGGCAGAATTCCACAGTGTGAATGAAACTCCACAATCCTCATTTGACTATGTTTTGTGTAGAAAGTTCTTATAAATACATGTTTCATATCCACTGTTCTCTTCTTAGGCGTCTGCCCTTCTTGGACTTGCTAGTTTACGCTGAAACCTTCTGGGAGGTTCTTGCTCTGGAACATAGGATTGGCTACAAACTATTGCCTGTAGTTTCCCAGTGGAAAAGATCCCGTCTCCCATCAGAAAACAAACAAAACACTCCTGATGTCTTAGATCTAGCAGTGTATTTTGTCCAATCAGCTGAACTTTTGGTCCCACTCACACTATGAATGTGTACATTGGTATAAAAAAAAATAGAAATAACACGTTGGTCATGAAGTTTAATGTTGTGTACTCTGGGCTTAATCCAGGAGACTTGGCAGGTGAGATTTTTGTGGTCAACTTGAGTTTCTTGATAGTGGAAGGAATACATTATGTGCCAGGGGTACAAAGGAGGAAACGACCTCCTCAGATACCACACTCCTAATGCCTCATCCCAGGATCGAGATTAACATGGATAGTCAGACTGACTTCCTTTCATTCCCAGCCATCCCTCATCATCCTTGAGAAAGAGTGAGAGCTACCGGTAGAAAGTTGATCGTTGGATGGGGTAGTGGAAGTTTACATCTCTCTCCTTCTTTATCTAAATGTGTTCATGTGAGAATATATCAACTGTATGGCCTGGAGAGAATTATTTTAAACATAAAACTTCATGAAGCGAATAAGATTTTAAATGGGTCTCCTGTAACTCATTGCAAGACTGAGAGAAAACATCCAGGTAACAATGAAGGTTCATCTAGTGGAGAGCAATATATCTGACAGCTGACCTTGCTCCCCTTTCTATCTTCCTATGAGACTCATTGCATCACCTCTGCAAACAGGAGCCGTAGCCGATGGTCTTTCTTTGTAACAGTGTCACTAGCTGCCAGATTCCCTCTTTTCACACCTTTGAGTATAGACAGTTGAGTCCAGGAGTTCATTTGTTTTTTCTTTCACTGTTCTCATTAGCGTTTTGTTAATCATTCTGACTCTGGCTTTCCTCCCTTTTCCCCTCCCAGCACTGGGGATTTCAAGGTTCAGCTTGCATAACAGGTAATAGCAGGCATTTCCTTCTCCTGTGTCGGGATATCCTGGCGCCCTTCAGTCTCTCTCTGACTGTATTTAAAACAGACTCCAGCACAGGGGGAAAAAAAAAAAAAGCCCAGTCTAAAATTAGCAGCCTTGATAGAAGAAAGGCACATGGCTGTCCACTGGACTGTTTGTCAATGAAACAACAAATCTAAACAGAGCCAGAATGCATTTCCTGTCTGTGGAAAACAGGCATGCTGAGCTTCGGAGAGGAGGAGAGAGAGGGAGAGAAAGGCAGACCTCACACCAAAGGGAAGAAAGAACTGGACAAAAGGCATCCAAAGGTAAAAGCAGTGTGCTGTGCTGCTGACCTCACAAGAAGAGGCTGTGTGCAGATCTTGCTCTGCTAAGGCTTTTGGATCCTGGCAGTGTTGCACCAGTGCATGGGGTCCCACTGGACTCAGAAACTGAGTGTATTACAGCTTAAACTAATATGTCTCTTTGTGTATCATACAGTCCCTTTTCCCTATTGGGCCTTTGAATCCCAGTAGTCTTGAACGGGTGTCTCAGCTATCCTTCACCAGTGGCACTGCAAAGGCATTGCTGTGAGATTTAAACTGAAGTAAAGAATCGGGCTCTGACCTTAACATGCATTAATATTACATCACCATGTTTTTTTTCCATTTAATTATACATTTTGGACCCAATCCTGCAAGCCCTCTGTGTATGGAACTCCTATTCAATGACTGTTCTTTGCATGGATGTCTTGACTGACTTGTGTAGTAAAGGAAGGCATTAATGCAAAATGTTTATGATTTGATGCCCGTGGTTTCACTGTGGAGTAGAGATGAAACCATTTCCTCCTTTCCCCACTGGATTCTGTATACAGTTATTATCCATGAGAATTACTATGGGAATTTCATTTATAACTGTCAGTGTTTCCATCGTGTTTCATTCTGCAGTTTGTAGTTTTATTTACTAGTCATTCCCACTCATTGCAATCTAGCAGATCTCCCTGGACTAAAATTCAGTCAAGTAAAGGCATATAATCACACTGCAGTATGACTGCAGAAATTCATTCTGTCCTATCTTTACTCTTCTCTATAGTCCCTCTGGTATTTTTAGTCCTATTAAATCTTGAGGTTTGGCTTCCACTGTGTTTCCTTGTGTTTTGCCTTCTTTACTAATGAGAGCTACACAGTGGCTTGTTTTCTTGGTTGACTGAGGACTTATTCAGATCTATTCCAGAAATAATCTCCTGTTTGTGTTCTGCAGAAGCTCGTAAATCAATGAGCTAATATTAAGAGAGCGCTATTGAGGGATAGAAAACATCCGACGAGATCTACTTTGGAATTCAAATCCTATTGCTGTTCTGTTTATTCTAAAAAAATGTGTAAAGCAGAATACTCTGCCTGTCCTGATCTAGATAGAATTTACCAGGTCCTTCTCCATGTGCAAAAAGAGGTACTTACTGGCAAGTTGGAACACAGCAGCTATGGCTTCCTCCCACCACTGGACATCCTGTGAAATAACAGGCAGTTCCACTAGGCCCAAGACGAAAATGAGCTGACCAGCAGTCAAGGCGACGGTAGCGATTAGGTTACAGGCCCGCATCATGTCAAACTGCACTGTGGGGGACACACAAAGACCGAGTAAGAGCATCATCTTAAAATAAAATCTTGGGGGTTGAAAAGCAATACCCCACCGAGAAGCCATGGCAGAGTTGCCAGACCCTGAAAGATTGCTTCAGAAGCTGCATATCTACTAATTTTATCCCAATTTATAACAAACTCTTACTCTGATCTACATTCATGATTAGGCTATCTAAGAACAGGTTGCCTTTCAGTTACACAGAAATCTGTCATAATCTGTTCAGTGCAGATAGCCTTGTTTTCAGGGATAGCCTTCCAAAAAAGAATAAACATTTGTCCTTCTGGTTGCTTTATCCATAATTATAAGCACAAACTCTTTGGGGCAGGGACCATCTTTTTGTTCTGTGTTTGTACAGCACCTAGCACAACGTCTGTAATACAAATAATAATAACTCCCAAGGCAAACCTACTGCTTTGAACTCATTGTCTTTCTCCCAGTATAATAATGTTGCATTTGAGACCAACTGATGAGCTAAAGCCTGCATCTCCCTTGTTTAAGTGGGAGCTACAGGTAGGGTATTATGGGAGAGATTCTCAACTACTAAAATTTGTTCCCTGTCCTGGTCTGTCAGAGCCCAGATTTGTTAATTTACCAGGCACATTGCAAAACTCCTCTTTTTCTGGATGTTTGAGTAGGGAATCAGTTGAGGGTAAAAGGGCAGTTATTTGTGGGGTTGTTGCAGTTTTCTTGGGGCTGGTTCACACTAACCCCCCACTTCGAACTAAGATACGCAACTTCAGCTACGTGAATAACGTAGCTGAAGTCGAAGTATCTTAGTTCGAACTTACCACGGGTCCACACGCGGCAGGCAGGCTCCCCCGTCGACTCCGCGTACTCCTCTCGCGGAGCAGGAGTACCGGCGTCGACGGCGAGCACTTCCGGGATCGATTTATCGCGTCTAGACAAGACGTGATAAATCGATCCCAGAAGTTCGATTGCTTACCGCCGGACCCGGAGGTAAGTATAGACGTACCCTTGTAATACACTGTACACATGTTGTGTCCAGTCATTGATATGTGTATACAGTTATATCTATAGTTGTACTGTGCAGTATTGTAATATTTACATATTACAACACACAGCACAAATATAGAATTAATCATGGAAATAAATATTTGGAGGCCAGGACAGGTACTTAATAGAAATGAACACATTTCCTAGCTGGTTACTGAATAGACTGTATTCATTGCAAAGTTTACTACTTTTAGTCAGGTTGATGGTGTTTTTCTTCTTCTTTTCCTATTAACATGATGGATGTCCTGTTTTCATCTTTTTCCTTCCTTTCTAGCTAACGGTGGGCTTTATAAATGTCATTGTGCCAACACAACATCCCTTGCCTAATATGCCACTGCTACTCTGAAGTAGGAAGGGCTTGCCATGTAAATGGCCACACTTTGGAAAGGAAAATGTTTACACTGGCAATGAATGCAAATCTTCACCAGAATTGTCAAAGGTGACATAGTTGATTATGGATGGACAGTGTGGGTGCATGAGATACTAGGATCTGAGATTTCCTATGTGATGAAAATGTCATGGAAGGGTTAATTCTCAGCTATTGTTACACCCTGTCACATTTTCCCAGGCTTTTTTGGTAACAAGATTCCATGATTTTGCAGTGGCTTGTTCCCAGGTCTCACCATTTATTTATTGGGTTCTGACAAGTATATGTGATGTTTGGTGCCAATACTCTATATTACTATGGAATGAAACTAGGAAATTTGTTGAGAACTAACAATACTTAGTGGAGTCCATTCAAACATGAACTTCTGTGAAAGGCATAAGTTGTGTTTAAAAAAACAGGTGCATACCAAAATATATTAAGAAATATAGTGAAACCCTTAAATGAATGCCCAAGAAGGGAATAAACCTGTCAAAAGACATAAAGGTAACCTGCACAGTGAAAAAGTGAGTTTGTGCCTCTCTTTGTTTATTAATACCATATAAAGAAGACACAAAAGAGTTTAACCCACAAATGGGGTAGTTTTTTGGGTTGTGTAAGGTTTTTTTCCTACTAGTTTGTTTTTATTAGAAAGGGAGATCTTGTCCACAGGTGCCAGCTTCCTCCTTGCCCTGGGGGTGCTCAACCCCCACTCTGGCCCAGGTCCCACCCACACTCCACCCCTTCCCCCAAACCCCTACCTCACTCTGCCTCTTCCCGCCCCCCTTCACCCTCACCCTGCCTCTTCTCCACTGTGACATTGCACTCCATATGTTTTATGGAAATATGCTTGTAAGTGTGAATATGATGTAACTGGAATATGCTTTATGCAAAAGGTCTCTTGTAAGGTATCATTACAAAGCTTATAATCTACTGAGTGTGTTCATCCTATTTGTATGCATGTATCGTTCTTGTATCTGAAGCTAGAAATATGAAATATAACTCTGAGGTCCTATTGTAATTATGCAAAGTGTGGGCCATTAATGGTGGTTTGGAAGCTTGATGGCTCCCATTGACTAGAACAATTGGTTGTAAACGGTCTGTTTACTTGCAAACCTTCCTGGGTGCATGCAGGCCAGCCCAGGAATAATGAAGGCTGGGGTCTCACAGGACATGGGACAATGTCACCTGGTAATGAAATCCATCTTAAATCTGGTACTTTTCCATTTAGAAGGAGGGGTGGGGTCCCAGAAAGACAAAAGATTCCCGCTTTGTGCCAAAGCTATAAAAGGGGGTGGAACAGAACAAAGGGGCTGCCAGTCATGAGAAATCCCCTAGTTACCACCTGAGCTGGAACTAACAAGAACTGTACCAGAGGAAAGGATTGGGTCCAGACTAGGTAGGAGTCTAGTCTGTGAAAGAAGCTTATTGGAACATCTCTGAGGGTGAGATTTTGCCTGTAACCAATTTCTTAATGTATTAGGCTTAGACTTGTGTGTTTTGTTTTATTTTGCTTGGTAACTTACTTTGTTCTGCCTGTTATTACTTGAAACTACTTAAATCCTACTTTTTATACTTAATAAAATCACTTTTGTTTATTATTTAACCCAGAGTAAGTGATTAATACCTGGGGGAGCAAACAGCTGTGCATATCTCTTTATCAGTCTTATAGAGGGTGGACAATTTATGAGTTTACCCTGTATAAGCTTTACACTGAGTAAAACTAATTTATTTGGCGTTTGGATCCTATTGGGAACTGGGTGTCTGGGTGCTGGAGATAGACCTGCTGAGTAGTTTTTGGTTAAAGTCTGCAGCTGCGGAGGCGTGGACCAGACCTGGGTGTGTGTTGCAGTAGGCTAGCATGTCTGGCTCAACAAGGCAGGGTTCTGGAGTCCCAAGCTGGCAGGGAAAATGGGCTCAGAGGTAATTCCAGCACGTCAGGTGACAGTCCCAAGGGGGTCTGTGTGACCAAACCTGTCACATCCACCTCTTCCTGCCCAGTTCTGCCCTCTACCCTGAGCACGCCCCAGCAAGGGAGGTATGTGGATCCCACCCAGGGCCGGCACCAGCGAAGGAAGCAGGTGCCTGGGGCGGCCAAGGGAAAGGGGCAGCAGTGCATCCATTCTCAGTGACTCCTGCACGCAACAGAACAGCTGATCGCTGTGGGCAGGAGGCACTGGGAGGGAGTGGGAGGAGTTGATCAGCGGGGCTGCTGGCGGGTAGGAGACGCTGCGAGGGGAGGTGATCGGCGGGGCTGCTGGCGGGTAGGAGACGTTGCGAGGGGAGGTGGAGGAGCTGGCTGCTGGTGGGTGCAAAGCGCCCACTAATTTTTTTCCAGCCCTGGAGCACCCATGGAGTTGGCATCTATGATCTCGTCTATCTTGTTTTTCCTGGAAGAATCCATGGATTGGAAAACTAATAGCACAAGTACTAAGGAAGTGAAAGCCAAGCGATTGAGAAGGAAAGGGGATTTTAGTCAGAATATTTAAAATTTTGTTTTTGTTTGATTATTTATCAACATCTATTTAACCCAAATGCCTTACATCTTTGCTAGAGATTCAGCACCCTGCAACTTCAGTCATAGTCTGAGAAAGCTCCCAGCCAGTTCCCTGATCCTCCAAGAAGACTTCCAGCAAAATAAGGAAGACAAGACTTAATATTTTTCGTATTTGTAAGACAAATAAAAAATAAGCTTTTTTAAAAAAAATATAAAAAGCCATTTAGGTCTTCTTTTGAGTTATAAAAATGCATGAACCCAATTTTTCCCATGTAGGTCACCTTTAACTCCCTGTACAGTAAGTAATATACAATTGATTGCTGACATGTTAGCGTTAGATGTTAAGAGCCATACACTGCCAGCCTTACTCACGCTGGATAACCTTACATCTTGGAGTACCATTGAAATGAGCCAGTTCAGTAAGAGGTTAGCAGGATATGGCCCTAAACACATATAGTTTTGGTTTTCCTGATTAATCCATTTCTGAAAGCAGAGGAACTTACTTCTGAAAGTAAGGACCAGTCATAGAGTAAATTTTATGGTAAGACTCAGTGCTAATTTTGAAAGTGCAATTCCTTAGTAGTGGGAGCACTAAGCAGTCTCCCCACAGTGAACATGAAGTGTCATGAAGTGCTTTGGGACACAAACCATCATCAGGCACCTGCTAGGCTTTACAAACATCAGTAAAACTTGATGAATGTTGAAAGTGTCATACCTACATCATAAGTGTAGACTATGGCTTTCTGAGAAATAGCCTTTTATAATATTATAAAGGCCTTTAGCTTGTCTGATGAGTTTGTAATAACTGAATCTAGAAACAGCCAATTCACAACCATTATTATTAAAGTCCTTTGTCTAACTATACCACTGAACCCAGAGGGTACTTAGGTCACATGTAATAAATGCTGCTGGCTTGTCCTTGGAATGTGTACTAACCACGATCTGAGAAATACCAGATTGCTATATTTTGTAAACTCCTATTGCACATCCCTGGTATTTGTAATGCCATGAGTAAGGCTATGATTTAGTCATGGATATATTTTATAAAAGTCATGGACAGGTCACAGGCAGTAAACAAAAATTCATGGCCCATGATCTGT